TCTCAATACTCTTCTCCAGCACCACAGCTCAAAGGCATCAATTCTCCTTCTATCCTCCTTGGTCATTGTCCAACTCTCTGATGCATAACAAGTGATTGCCAAGACCATGGCCTGTATCGGACGCACCTTGCATTAGGAAACTAAAATGTAGAGGGTATAATCTCTCACCTAAAGATACCGAGATAGTTATTCATGGACCAAGCACCATGTCTCCTAAATTTCAACCTAACATTCTTAACACCTATTTTGGAAATCATTAGTTCTACTTTTAATATCCACGGCTTTTATTCAATATGCATTTCTGGTGATGACAACTATAATACTAAGGGGGGGAAAATCCAAAACTACATGTAATAAAACTAGAAGAGAGTCCACAGAAAAACAAAAGAGATAATAAAAAATTAAGGGTACATTATTTTATTTATTTATATATCAACTATATTCCAAAAAGACTTAAAAAGATGCAGTTAATGTAACAAGACCAAAATTATTAAAATAAGAAAAATAAAAATAGAGAAGGAAGATGAAATCAAGAATGTGGCTAAGATATAATAACATAATGGATGTGCGCCATAATCTGGGCCCTATATGGGCTGACATTAATACAAAGATAAAAAATACTATCAATTGAATAGTGTCTTTCGGGTAAGAACCAAAAACCAATTCAGGACAAATGAGACCAAAGAAAATTTTCCCCTTTGCCTTCTTAAAAAGAACACTATGAATTGTTAATGATAAATATCCTTTACAGCCATGTACAGGAGAAATATGGATTAATCCAAGGAGAGAATTAATAAAAGTATACAAGGAATTCTCCAGACTTTCTTTGGCCTAGAAAGAGAGATAAGACAGAACTTAAAAATAATATGACCTAGATGAAAGCATTTTTTACCCTAAAATCACGGAAGAAAAATGAAGCTTTTAAGAAGTTTAATGAAGAATGAAAGATGTTATAAAGTCCAAAATGTATATACAAGCTTATGACTCAAATAATTTCCTAAGGAGATAAAGTTCTTTTGAGATTGCTAACCTTAAATCTTAAGGTTGATATCATACTTCATAAAATACTCCTTGGTTTTCCCATTAGAAACTAATAAGTATAAGAATTCTTAGGTCTTTTGTTGAAGTGGTTTTGTTTAGAAGGGGAAAAAGTGGTATCTGTTCAAATCCACTTAAATGTCTTCCTGTTGTCAGGTCAATATGACTCATAGTGACCCTAGGAACTCTCCTGAGTTCAACCTGGACCTATCCTGTGCCATCCTTATCAAACACAATACCCTTGAACCCACTGCCACAGTCACTGTATCAATTCATTCATTGAGGGTCTTCTTCCTTTTCTTTGACCTGACACTTTTCCAGGCATGATGTTCCTTTCCAAGGAATAGCCTCTCTTTAACAACATGCCCAAAGTATGTGAAACGAAGCTTTATCATCTTTGCCTCTAAGCAACACTCTGGTTGCATTTTCTCCAAGACATTTTTGTTTGTTCTTTGGCAGTCCATAGGACATTCAGTACTCTTCTCCAACACCACAACTCAAAGGCATCAATTCTTCTGTTATTCATCATCCAGTTCTCAAGTGCATCACCAAGTGACTGAAAGACTAGGACTTGACTCAGACTTACCTTGGTCTTTAAGCTGACATCATTGTTCTTCAGGACTTTAACTCACCCATGTTTCAATTCCTGTTTTCTTTCAGGTTATTCATGTCATTTTTTAAATTTTAAAAAGTTTTATTTACTATAGAGATTTTTTGGGGTTTTTTTCTTAATAACAACTTCCTTTTATAGATGTTAATCTTTAGGTGCATTATTTAATCTCCTAAATAAGGAAATAAGGAGTTGAAATGTCCATTTTTGAGAAATATTCATACTGCTTCTGATAAACTTATTAAACACATAAGTAGCACCATGGGAGCCCATGAAGTGTCATTATTGCTCAAGAAAGGAAACATGATAGAAAAACAAGAAAAAGTGAAGCAAAGGAAGGGTCATAAATCACCCTGATCTGAGGTGTTGAACTGAGAGGTAGGATGTATGATGCAGGAAAGGATAGGGCCAGTTGTAACTGCCAGTAATAGAATGCCCAAGATGTGAACTCTAGTCCAAAGCCTAAAGTAATAAAATGGTAAGGTGCTCAAAAGTAAAAAACTGAATTAGGAAGTAGTCATACTGTGTTGGCAGTAGAGAAGATCCTTTATCCCAACCTAAGCAGTGCTAGAGTGAACCAGGAAGGTCTCCAGGTCACAGTCAAAGTCCTTGAAGGGCATAGATTCCAGCGGACTGAGCTGGGTAGCTTGAGTCTCCAAAACAAAGTTCATTGGCTGCTTCTGTAGGAGCTCTGGGTCAAAGGCCACGCCCCGAAAGAAAGGGTGGAACTGGAAATGATGCAGATAGCGTGGACGGTGGAAAGGGTTCTGGCATAAGAGCTGAAGAGAAATAGAATAGAATAAGAAAGATGAGGAACTGGGATAAGGAAGAGGCTAACTAGAAAAGCTGGAAAGGGAGAAATCAAGACATGGAACTATGGAGGACAGGAACTAGAACCCAAAAGAATAGAAACAAGTTAATTTGGAGTAAAGGTGGGAATAAAGGAACTATGAGTTTAAAAGTAGTAAAACAGTAGCAGTGGCCCATCTGGAGCAGATAGAAACCGTCAGAAGGAAAATAAATAGGATCTCAGACATCCTCCTTCCCTTTCAATCCTCCAACAAACTCAAAGGAAATCAATTCCAAGCCAGGGGGGGGGGGGAAAAAAAAAACCAAACCCCATCTGCTCCAGATGGGGAAGAAATCTGTGGGAGACAATTCATAATGCCAGGAACCCAGGAATAAAATGTGAAGTGCTAGTTAGAGGACAAACAGTGAGGTACACCTAAATCAAGTTAGAACCCCTGCTCCCTAAAAAATTAATCAGAGGGATGGGAAAATAGCACTTCAATGATAGGAAAAGGAAAGAATGAATGGTTTGGTGTCCAGAAACCATACCTCATGGAGCAGGAGTGAGAGCTCCTGGTTAAGAGAGGCAGGGATCTCATAGTCACAGTGGGTCACACTTGCCAGCATGGTCACATGATCTCTCTCTGCAGCCACTGGGAACTGAATTAAAGGGGAAGAGGCTGTCATTCCTTGGTGGAAATAAGATGATTTTTCTATCCTATCATAATGCAAAGTTATTCTCTTCTCTGTCCAATTGTCTTACCTTTCCAGTTGCCAGACAGAAAAGCAACACACCCAGGGACCACCAATCAGCAGCATGGTTATAAGGCCCTCCCCTTAGGACTTCTGGGGCTAGAGTTGAAAGAAATTTGTCACTGACACCTTTTTTTTTATGAACATAATACTGACACCCTTTAGTTGCCCTACTTCATGCTCACCATCAGCTCAGCCTCTCTCTTACCCATGTACTGAAGAGTGCCACAGATGGTGTAGGCTCGAGCTCCCTGAGGCAGGTGGCGAGACAGACCAAAGTCTGTCAGTTTCAGATGGCCTGTGGAAGAAGGTAAGGCAGCAGAAGCACTCTGTTCCATCCTTCTTCAGCCATGACTTGCACTGAAACCTAGGTATTTCTCAGCCTTGGGATAGGGGAAGAAAAGGACTTACCTCGTTCATCCAGAAGGATATTCTCCATCTGAAAAATCACAGGTAATAAGTTTTTAACCCTCTTTCAACATGTGTACCTCTAGCAGAAGGTATGCTATACACTATCCAAATGTATACTTGGTAGAACCCTTGCCCACATTCTTATCACCCTTGAGGGCCCCCAAGGTCAGCTGTCCTCAGTTATATCTTGCCTTCCTGGACTTTATACAAGAAGGAGAAGCACTAAACTCTACCTTCACATCTCGATGAATGATACCAAAGTCATGAAGATAGCCTGTGGATGACAGCATGTGTGGGTTATCCTTTCCAATTTCCCTAGTGCCCTTCCCCATCCCTGTCTTTGACCTCTAGAGTTAGTATCAATTTTTCCCTCTGCCCCATCCCTGATTCTTCCTCCTCCATTTCCATTACCATCCCTGTTTTACTTACACAGCACCAGGACCAGCTCAGCAGCCAAGAGAGAAATGGAAGCCTCAGCAAAGCAGCCCACAGTGGACCAGACGGTGTACAGATCTCTGCTACAGTAGCTGCACACTGCAAAGTACCAGGAGTCTAGGCATCATTTGGAGGCTGCTGGGCCTGGACTCAAGGCACTAAGGCCTCATGCCCAAACTTCTGCTACATACTATTCCCTCTTCCTCTGGGATAGAGAGGTACAATGAGCTGGACAAAGGCAGAACAAGCCAACAAGATGGATAACCTAGATAGGAGGTATAGTAGAAGGATCTTTCGGGATGAAGAGGGGCAAGTACTCACTAATGAAGAGGTGCCTTTTTCCCTGCCAGCTGTCCCCCAAACTGTGTACAAAAGGATGGCTGATCCGCCGCTAGGGACAAACAAAACAAACAACAACAACAACAAAGGAAGTTAGAAATAATATTGAGAATCAAGCCAGCCAAGAAACTAGGTTTGATCAAGCTATACACAAAAGGAGCCGCTATATTCTCAGGTCAAAAAAACTCAACCATTGGGATTGACTACCTGCATACCACCAAACCAAAAGTAATACTGAGAACATGCTAGAGATTTCCTCAGCAGAACCTGGACAATTGTGTAGATAGTTACTTCTTCCAAGATCAGCTTCTATGTTGAACTAGGTTGGAAGCAGAAAGGGCAGAATAGTGAGCAGGAAATTAGAGAAAATGCTTTAACTCCTGGGATGTTGCATGCATACCTGAATGCTAATTTCTTCTTTACACTGCCTCAGGGTGTCCCTCTGTAGGACTTTGATCTTGGACACCACCTATAAAGGAGAGGCATGATGACTCCTAAAGGAGTGTTTGTTTAATTCACTAAACCACTCTGGAACCAAAAATTTGAGGTAAGATCTAGAGAATAATATGGAAGAGCATGTAGGTCCTACCTTCATTGCAAACACAGCTTTCTGGCCACAGTCTAGCACCTTGAGGACAGTTCCAAAGGAGCCTTTGGCCACAAGGCCTAAAATCTGCATGGAGAAATGGAGAACTAGATGTTTCTAGGTTTCTTCCCAAGAATGAGCCCCTTCCAGGGATTCCACTTATCTTACCTTTAACTGCAGCTGCCCACTAAGGGGCCTAATGGGAAACTCCGGCAGAAAGAGATTGATGAACTGAGGCACAGGCCACTCAGACAGAGGCTTCTCGACTAGCAGTGGGGCTGGCTCCAGGGGCTCCCTGTGCAGGTACTGATGCCCCTTTAATCCCCACAGGTCTTCCAAACCTGACCTGGTGGTCCCCACACCTGACCAGAGGCTCTTCCAGCCTTGGGTCCAAAGGCCCTGGATGTTGCCACCCTGCTGAGAACCAAGGGAACCACTAAACCTTCTGTCCCAAAGGCATTTTAGGTTCTACTCATCTAAACCAACCCTCCTTTCCCTTAAAACCCAAATCCTAGAGGTAAGACTTTTTGACAGCCAGGAAAAATTGCTTCTGCCTTGCAGCAGGCAAAGGCTTAAATTTCCTGGACACAGTTAGTTCATCTAGAAAGTCATCATAACACATTTTCCCTGTGAGAAAGGGATGCAGCCTACATTTCTCAGTTCAAGGTTGGGATGCTTTTCCGCTCAACCCAATGGTTATGACTCCAACTCTCCAGTCACTTTCCAGGCTTTAAGTCCATGCTTTCTTCATCTCCCCTCAATAGGCTGCCAGAGCCCCACAGCCTACCTTATGAGGAACAGCCACCTGGGCACGGTGCCCCTGCCGGCAGCTGGTTGCTCCCATTCCCAGCCTCTGCCTCAGCTGGCTCTCATCCACTAAAGCTGCTGTCCTCGTTATATAAGCAGTCCCTCCCCTTAAAGCTGCATTATACATGAGCCTGCCTCTTACTATCTACAACTAGAAATACAAGTAATGCACCCAGACCTCACCATTTCCCCCAAATTATATTTCCTCCAGCTAACAGGCTTGTAGCCAGACTTAAAATGTACAGAGAATCATCAATATGGGGCCAACATCACACTGACAAGTATCTGATACAGTTTAAGCAAGGGCAGGAGAGGCTACTGATTAAAATGGCAGCTACAGGATGTGTCAGGTTGATGAGATGGGATAGACAGTTTGAACCCATATACTCAACACAATTGAAGAAAAAAACAACATCAAATTTAAAATATATATTTTTTTTCTCTTTAAGTCATTTTATCATTTTCCAGGGCATACCCCAAGGGGAGAGTAGGGGACCATGGCCAGCCCTGGCTCCCATTGCCATTCTCCCAAGTGAACTTGGCACACATTGTTGGGACTGATTTCTCCCCACCCCCCGCACACTTTCACACAAGGCAGTGGAGAGAGAGACAAGATCAGACCCCTCTCCTCAGTTTTCTGGCACATAGTAAAACCATTACACTTAGAAATATATATATATTTTTATATATGCATATATATATATTTATAAAAATTTATCACATTTAATCAAGGCTGTCCCCTCCCTCCCTTTTCAGGATCTAAGGGGATGGGATCCTAAGCTTGTGCTCATTTCCTGGATCTTGTTCTCTTGCCTTTCTGTCCCTGGGCCTGCTGATCATTGTGGGATAGAAGTCAACATTATTGTCCACTATGCTCTGTAAGGAATAGACCAGCTACTAAAAGTGGTACTTCTCCCCATAATAGCCATGGGCCCCTGACCCCAACCAATCACGGTGAATGAGGGGTATCCCTCATTCTTTACAAGTCTTTAGGGCCTCAGCCCGATCCTGTACTGCAGCCACTTTTGGAGTGACAGATCATTTGCGCCTGCCAAAGATGGACTTCTTGCCAGGGTTCTTGTCACCCAGACTTAGACCGATGAGGAGCCGGGCTTTCTCCTCCTCTTTCTGCTGTTGCATGTTCAGGTCTGATTTAGTTTCTAGTTTTCCCCGGACCTCCGACCCTGTTGCAGGCTTCAGCCTTAGCTTCTCTTTGATTACCTGGCAGGTTGGAAAGGAGTAAAAGGGAAGGTAAATATTAGTGGGTCAGGAAGAACAAGTAAAATTTAAATCAAGAAAGATTTATTAAACTTACATGTAAGGCACAGTAGGGCAATTCAAAAGATAAAATGATATCTGCTTTCAAGAAGCTTACAGTCTAAATAGAATGAATTCTAAACCTGAGGTTGTGTTAGCCCTGAGTCCCTAAAACCAAAAGTAGTTTAACATGTGTGTTAAACTAAACATTAAGTCTAATCATCTGGACAAAGTCACGGGTAACGCAGGGATAGAAGTCACTCACTTCATTCACCTGCTCCTCTCCCAAAGTTTTGTTATTATATCCTAGAACAAAGGCCTCCTGAGCAGAAGATCTGTTTTGCCAAGCCCCCGCTAACCAAACAGCCATGAGCTCTGGCGGGATACCTGGGCAACCAGGGCTTTGCGGCTGTCCCTCTTGACAGCCATTGCAAAGTCTAGCCATGTCCATGTGTTGTTGTGGTACTCCAAACAGGGCAGCACCAGGTTAAGGTCTCCCCAATCCACACTGTTCTTCTCACCCTGCAAGAGGAAGAAGGAAAAGACAAAGTAAGTAAAAAAAAAGCTATCAAATGCCATTTTGAGTCCAAACCAAACTTGGCATCTAGCTCCAAGTCTCACAGAAGCCTGGCTGTCTATCTATAATCTCTGAGTCTATCTATAATCTCTGAGGCTAGAGAGGTGCAGACCTTGTAACTGACACACAGTGGAACCTGTGGAATTTTTATGTAGATAAAGGAGTTGTTCATGGCAGCCCGTTCTTTCATCTTGTCAATGTCATCCACAGGGTGCTAGGAAAGGCAAGAAAGATATGTGAGCCCCTGAAACCATCAGAAGGAAAAGAAACACAATCTCAAACGTTCCCCTTCCCTTTCACTCCTCAAACTCAAATAAATTCCCAGCCAGGCCAAACACCACCTTCGGTCTGTTCCACACAGTTCAATTAGGAAGTATATTTCTGGTACCTCAGGTGCTTTGCGGAATGACCTTCGGACCCCAGAGCTCCGATTCAAACCCTGTGCCACACCCTTCCCAGAACCCAGAGGTACTGCATCATCTGTTGAGATCAGCTGCCGAGGCTTTACCACTGGTATTCCTAGGAAGAAGCAAGCACACCAGCTGTCTTCCCCTCTGAAGCTGCAGCTACCTCTGGGGCTGACACCCATGAGAGTGCTCCACAAAGGGTCTCACCAGTAGTCACTAATTTGGACTTATCCTCTTCATCACCAACTTCATCATCCTCCATACTTCGGCCAGGAAAGAAAAAGCCCATCATTCTATGAAAGAACTGGTGTGTCAGCTGGATGGTTAGAGGCACCACATTTACCTACAAGGGAAAAATGTCAAAGCATTAAACTCACACACTATTCCTTACTTAGTCTACCTACCACAAAAGAGCACTACAACATACAGATGGCTTTTGACTTCCTATTTCTCCTGTGCCCCTCAGGAACTGGTAGTTACTAACCTCAAAGTGCTCCTTAACAGAGATACCTCCGACAGGGGGCCGGACTTTGCTGAAGAGGCGTAGAGCAAGCTGTCGCCCAGACTGGCAGGGGCTCTGTGGTCGCAGGACTACCTGCAGAATACAGAATGAACAACTCAAAGTGGCATCTCTTCCATTAACTCAACCCATGTATCTTCTGTAGACTGAGAGGAGGGGTACTGGCTAAAAATGGGAAAATAAGACTTGCCTTATAGACAGCATTGGGGAGGAGGTTGTTCATAGTAAACCAGCCCAGCTCCAGAAGATGTTCTGCTGTGTCATCAGATTTATTCACCTAAAAAGACAGAATTCTCCCTCCACTACAATTAAGTTGTTCGGGAAATATGATATATAACATTTGCTTTTCTCATTAACTTGCTGAAGAATTATGACATACACTTTTTTTCATGCTGTTTGTTTCTATGTACCTAATCCTAACCTTTGATACAATTTTAATTCTCATACAAACAATGCACTCTCTAATCCACTGTCACTCATGGGACAATACTGGCCAAGGCACTAAATTCCAGCACTACTTCCCATCAGGATGACAATGTTCTCAAAAAAAAATTAAAAAAAAATAATAATGTTCTCATTCATGTCCTAATGTTCATGAATAATGTCTTCTCTCTCCTCCATGTCAGTGGGCAATTACAATCCAATAGCAATACCAGTCATAGAAGTGGAGCAAAGGTTAAGCACTTGGCTAGTAATCAAAAGGTCACTGTTCCAACTCAACAACCACACGGTAGGAGAAAAGACCTGGCAATCTACTACTATAAAGATTACAGGTTAGGAAACTCTATACTGTGTTTTATAGGGACACTCTGAGCAGGAATCTACTTGATGGCATACAACAACATTCAAGCTCTAATTACAGAAAAGCTAGACTTAAAACTATTCCTCTGGACCACAATTCTAGGGATAATCTTCTTACGCAGTGAGGGAACCATTTAAACAAATGCATCTACAGCTATATCCTTATTTAATATTATAAACCGATGTGTTTAAGAGGAACTCTGCTCATATTTCCAATCATGATCATTATTAATAATTATATAATAGTGAGCACTTTTATTTTTTTAGTTGAATTCCAGAAATAGGCCAGTGCCTCTCAATACAGCCAACTCTGTGTGATTCTATACTGGATACCTTGCTGTAGAGGAACCTCTGTAGCTCCAGCTCAGCAATTCCCAGCTGTCCATCTTCCTCTGTCAGGCGCCATCGTGCCTGAGCAAAGTAGAACTCAGTGCGACGGACGACACTCACATCCTCCTGCTGCTTTCGCAGTTCCATCTTGTTGGCCCTCTGCAACTGGAAATCCTTGAAACACCTATAAGAGGACAGGAATGCTATTATGAGCTGAATTGTGTTCCACAAGAAAGATATATAGAATGCTATCCTTCATATACTTTTTTTTCCTATAATTATATTTTATTAATTTTCATAAACATTTACAGAGATTTTTGGGTTTCCATTCATTCATTGTTGCACTATTCTCTCTACCCTCCTCCCAGTTTGTTCTTGTCCAAATGCCACAGTGCTTGTCAAAGCCAGTTCTGATTAATCTTCTTTGTCAGTGTGTCCTTTGCCATTCCCTATCACTCCTCCCTGAGAGAGACTTCACCCTGAGTCATAAGGAAAAGGGGATGGCGTATTCTCTTAGCTACTTCCTGCTGAAAAGGGACGCTGTGGGTTTCAGGGTGAAGATCTTCTCTCACTACTCTAAAGGGCCCCTTTGGCAGTAGGAAACACATAGACTATTATGGAGATTGATTTTGGAATTTAGATGCACTCTTATTGATTGTGCTTGGCCGTACATGTTCATATCCTTGAAGATGTATCATGGGGGTGTTGCAACCTAGAAGACACAAATTTGACTAACAAGTTATAAGTACATGAGTCCAAAAATTATGGAAAAGTAAAAGATTCTTTCATTGTTTTACAAACCCTCCCCCAGGTCCCCTCCACCATGTAGCCCTCGCTCTAGTCTCCTGTGATGACAGAAATACCTAGTTATATATCTCTTTTAAACAGTTTTCTCCCTCCTCTGTTTCAGTGCAGTATACATTATTGAACCCATCTTATTCAGTCTCTCCCCAACCCCAAGGACAGTCCCATTCTACAACAGTGGCATCATGTAATATTTGTCCTTTTGTGACTGGGATATTTCACTCAGCATAATGTTCTCCAGAGTCAACCATTTTGAATAATATTGCATGAGTTCCTTGTTTTTTAATGCAGCATAGTATTCCACTGTGCGAATATACCACAGCTTCTCTAGCCATTCGTTT